TGCGCAAAGAAACAAATCTCATCGCGCAGTGAAATGTGGCCTGAATAGAATACCATAAATACAGGACCAGTTTAGGCTGGATCATTGTCAATATCAACTACCAGTCATAGACCCTATAAGCTATAGTGAAAGTGACTAAGCCAGATAGTACCAGTCCCGAAACGCATTGGAAAATTTCACTTGAACAATCAAAATCACCGAACAAGGCGAATCCAATATCCGAATTCTTGAATTATTTGCTGCGTGGTGCCTTCAATACGTGTGCAAACATGACCCATGAAAATGTATGCAGTAAGCAATGTGCTATCTTCAGTGAAAAAAGTCACTGGAACTTTATCATAATGAGGGGCACCCCCAAACCCTTGTGCAAACAGTTCGACCAGGGCATTTGAACGAAAGCACACTATAGTGACATGAATCATGTTTCCAAGAAGCGAGGTTTGCTTTCCAAGTTCGTTTTTACGAAATATGTTTTTCAAGTTAATTTTTTACGATATCTATTGTAGAAATGTTGCTGCAAATTCTGGCATTTTGGTTCTATGAGGTGTTGAAAGATGTGTCTCATAAAAACACAGTTGGCAATATGTATTTTGTAAAAACGATCTGTGGAAAGACTCACTTTTTGAAAAGTGTAGTGGATGGCACGGGTGGCCTTTCGTATTCTCTGCTTAGTTGATTTGCATATCAAAAGGGCCGCAGAGGTCACGGTTGGGCCTTTATTTTTGCACTGCATGTGGACTGCAGATAATAAACCTTTTCAATAATAATTCATAATTCTACACGCATGCGCACAAATGGCCCCGACGGCAAGGAGTGAGAGCGGGCCATTGAAAAGGTACAGGGGTGCGACTTTGATGATAATTTTCTTTCAGGTTTTCTGGCTTTGTTCATTTTTTCTTCAGAAAATCCCATTAATTTATTTGATTTTAGTTTCTAATCTAAGCTTAAGCGAGCTTTTGAGCGCTCTGTAAAAAGACTTTACAATCGTGATTTGTCCTTTGCGTGCGAGATCACCGTTTCTTAGTATGGTCCCTTCCATCATAAGTAGTATAAATTACATCGTTAGTGTTCTTCGAGCCAAAGTGTGCATTTGTAAACACGTACTGTACTCTGCACTTCAGAAATCTAAAGATTCGGATCCCTTGGTCTTTGGAATCTGAACAACCCCAAACACAACAACTGGACAGTGGACACCATTTCTTTTGGTATTACTCCAAGCTATGACCAGGCTCAATAGTAAGTTATGTACGCACAGTACACTGAACACCAGTGCGTGCTTACAAATGCACAGGTTGGCTCAAAGAACACTAACGATGTAAGTTTATACAACTTTTGATGTAAGGGGGCTATACTAAGGAACGGCGATCTCAACAAAGTCACACCGCTGTACCGTTTCAATGACCTGCTCACACTTATTGCCGCCAAGGCCTTTTGTGCGCATGCGTGCATAATTATGAATTTATTAGTGAAAAAGGTCTACATACAGGCACCTGTACATGTGTGTAACTAGCTGAGTAAGATTTGAAGCTTTGCATGGTGGAAGAGACATGAAGAGTGTGCATGTGCATCACAGTCTCCTGAGGACGGCCAGAGCACACTGGCCGAAACGTCGAGTTAACACTCACCGGTTCTTTTAAGAACCACACCTCGCCCAAAAGAGATTGATTCAATGGTATAGCCGCAAACCCATTACTCATGTGTAACTTGCTGTCTAATAGGCCCTGTCACGTCTGTGTACGAGAAAAGTCGCTGTCGGTTTACGGAAGGCCAATGATGAACGCCTTGACCGAGACAGCAAAAGAGCTTGATTCAGACTATTGAAAACGAGCGCAATTGTAATCTCCGTGAACACAAAAAAATTGAGAAAAGTGAGTGTATTGCCGGCTGTGAATTAAAAAACCCCAAATTCTTCTTTACAGCAAAATTGAACGTTCTTTTTTCGCCATGCCAACTTTTAGATTAGTTGTAGCAGAAGTGGATTTAAGCCTTTGGTTCAAGATGGGGCTAATTAGCTGTCTTGTTAAGGAATCATTAGTCAACTACTGTAGGCTTCAGTAGCGGTTAAACCCACACAGATCCACTATCGTGAACTCGGTTATGGCAAATCACTGATACTCAGGGCAAAGAGCGTCCCTCATTTAGAATATCGCACAATATGTATACTTTTTAAGCAAGAGTAATTTTGAATTTTTTTAAAAAACGTACAAAATTTCAAACGGGTGCGGAAAACGAATTTCATGCCCTTGAGTACAATGGTACCTATTATAGTCTGTCAATCACCCCATTCCAATGTTTTTGGTTTTACATGCTCTGACTTAAATCACATTTATGCTTCAGCCAAATACAAGTATTTACGTTAAGTTAATGGATATACTACTGGCCAACTAATACTGTCCCTTTAACGCGCTGCCTCAGTTCCGTAGAACACTGCGCATGTCAGTATTTTGTGGAGGTGTACTTTGCACTATATTTAATGAGTATAATGATGGAACGGGTGAGACGTAGTCGTCATCAGATTCTGAAGTAAAATGGAACTCACGTCTTTGCGGTTTTTGCAGGGCAAGAAACGAGCGGCTTGCCAGGCGTAATGGGACGAACGAACAAAATTCCCCGGACCGATTCCGGTTGGGCCTGGGTTGTTGACTGTGGTGCGTTCATAGCTTACTTCACATCAATCGGTTATGTTTCGTCTCTGAGTGTGTATTTGACTATCTGGATGGATTATTTTGAGGCCAGTGCAACAACTGTGGGCTTAGTTGTATCGATGGGAATTTTAATGAGAGGACTTATGAGTAAGTACTTTATATTTTATCTGAATTCAAGATTTCACTTAGACCAAAACTCACGTTTTTCATTATTTCAGTGAAGTACAATCTTTAACCTGCAACTCCGTTACACTTAACACAGAAGGATGGGACGCTGAGTCATCATTTCGATAGCAAGCACGTCACATAATTTCTGTGACAAGCCAACTCGGCAGGGGTCACATATATGAGTCCCAGGTTACTTTGCATTCAGACTTGGTAACTGCACTTACGTTTGACCTCAGGTTCCAAATAACAGAATAGCTAAATTAGCAATTAAAACTCTGTCTTGCCAAGGAGCCAAAAATGAATGTACACAGTTTTGGAACTAAATATAATCTGAAACTTTAACTAAACATACTGATTTGGGAATGTTGTGGCAGATTTTAATAAAAACAGTTGCAAAAAGTTTGCATATCCATAGTCATATTCATTTAAACAGTTCGACACACAAATTTGACTAATTACAAGGACTTAAAGTCTCTGACTCGTATTCGAAATTAGAAGTACTACTACTAGTACAAATACTCGTACTTTAAAATCAGTTCTTGTATACTCAGACTTTCAGGTACTCGTAAATTTAAGTACTCGGCAGTACTCTGTACTCGGAAAAAAGTACTGGACTATAACACTGGTTCTAGGGCCATATTGTTGTTGCTGGCAGTTTAACGGTGAACCCTGACCCCCTAGGGTTTATGCAAAATCGTATAATTTGAGGACTGTTAGGGTTAAGCATATTTTAGATCTTCCCCTTTTCCATATCGTGTCCTCTCCTTTAAACTGTCGTTTTTTTGGGGGGGGCAGACCTCACTTATAATTGACAGAAATAGTTTTTTTTTCATAAATCCATGGGGATGGCTAGCTGGATACTTACGTACAGGCAGACGCAATATTTAACCACTGTAGAATATCGTATCAAGGCCTATTTTTTGTGTAGTGAAACACTGAGATATTGTAAAAGACAACCTTCGGTCGGAGGAAATTCACCTTCACGGAAGTATCCTTCTCTTCCCCGCTGCCATTCTGTAATCAACCACGTCATTTTCAAGCCATGTTTCAATTAAAGCATGCCCCCAAGCATGCATGCAGCTCAAACGACAGAGTGGATCGACAGACACATTGCAATCGAAGTCGGGGGTAGAGGTTGAAAGGGGGTCGACCCCCTCTTGAGTTAGACATTGAAAGGCCAGCTTAATTTGTGTTATTTGGGTTTTTCTGTTTCTTTCTTTTCTTTTTTTTTCCTTTCTTTTCTTAACTTGACGCATGAGCTCATACATACGAGGGACTGAATTTCTCATGACTGGGCGAATTTTATTAACCAAGTCCCCATACTAAGATACGGAAGCGTATAAGGGCCACATGATTTTTAAATGCTATTGATTAGTATTTCCTCGCTGCTGCGAGTTACTCTGCGAGCAACGAGTCAATATTTCGTTGCAGGGAGTAATTATCTCCCCGTTGACAATCCATCTCACCGCTGTGAGTCATACGCTCTTGCCTTGGCGTATTGGTATCCGATCCCGCCTTGGCGAAAATCTCAGCCGTCTCACAAATCTATTGGTGCCTAGGGTCTACATAGTATTTGATCTGGCCGTGTGGTGGTGAGATTGGCATCGCCCTACAAACTGTATCGTGGTCCAAATATGCTTCAGGATACCGTACGAACAAGTATTGGCTGCAGTTGTGGACATTTGGTATCTTTACCAGGCGTGCATTAAGTTCACCTGATCTAGAGGAAACCTACCCGTTTATCAAAATCACTGAAGGAAGAGTGGAAGGGGGTTTGATTTATATATATATTTTATCCCGATTTCATCGTTCGCTGATTTGTTTCTAAACGTACTCTGCCGCTTGCATTTCCGATGTATTGTCAATCGTTTGCGAGATCGGTGCCAAGTGCTGTGAAAGACATCGGCTCATCATACTTTTTTGAAGGTAAATTAAAAAATCCCATACATCGACCAATGTTCTCTGAACCGTCTTTATAGATTAAATCGCTCAAGTTACTTTTCTTTTCTTTTTTTCTTTGAGGTCCCTTGTCGGGTGCACTCTGCACCAAATTAGGCCCCCGCGTTGTTACGATGGTGGGTGGTGTTATCTTCGTGACTGGGGCAGTGTTGTCATCCCTATCACCAACGATAGGATTCCTTATAGTCAGCAACGGATTGACAGGTAAACTATTTTTAAATAGTGCTTGGCTAAGGAATGGTTGTTCAATTGATTTAATTCACTGGTAGTCAACTGCGCTGGTAGTCACTGTTCCAATGATCAATATTTATTTGTTTTAACCCACCATTACAGTCCACCATTATTCTGTTACATTGTTTCCATAAGTTCAGTAGGTCATGACTCATTATGTATGAAATAATGGAGCTTTTTGATTTTGAATATTTAGTGATGTGAGTGCCCTGTACCGGTACTACTGTGTATGCTGATCGTGAATACTGAAGTCAGAATCAAGTAAAAAAAATCCTCCTTGCTCCTCGGTCGCTAATATTGACGCAAATATGCCTGCTCTAAAAATTTCATGTTTTGCTCTTGATTGCAAACGTTTTAGTAGTTTTCCGTAGTGAGTTATAGGTAAACTTGCTTAATTTAGCGGTGACACTTGATATATTTGGTATTATGTTCCAAGAAGACCATGTACATTGTGCATGTGTACTCATGCGAATTATAAAAGAGGTAAATCGTGACCTGACCGTGGTTGCTATGTCCCCTTTAATAGACCGATTGCCACCGTTAGAGTGGGTATCAACCGGACAGCAACATTTGGTCTACTGCGCTCTACCTACCCGAACAGTCACTTCATATGCAAATTTCCAATTTATCAACTTTATCATCCAGTCATCGTTTCTGAATAAACCTTTACCTTGTGTGATTTCATTTGTGGTGGTAAGAGTGTTATTTTCTTGTTTCTTGGTGCCCTTTCTCTCTTTTTGTTTGTGTGTGCATTCTGCAGGGGCTACTAAAACTATACTCCCCATAGGCTGGGCTGCTTCTGTGGTGCGTTTGTTCGATAAAGCGGCCCGTATAATCTACACAACAATTGCTGCATGAGAGAACGTGTGTTTTTCCTTACTGTAGCAGCAACTGTGGGTTATGGCCTAACCACTTGAGAGAGCGCTTTCGACTTGAACAGGGACAACGCCTGGCCGCATGGGTGCTCCACCCCTATATGTTGCTCAGACGAGGACCGAGACGCTCAATTCCGCGGTAGTCAGACTCCCATGGGGAATTTTCCGACTTGTAATTTCTATTTCTCCGCCCTCCAACAGACCGCCTAGTCAACTGAGCCAGCGCTTCCTACGACTGTCGAAGACCCAACAAGCTGACCGACAGAACGCCTATGGCTCACAAAAGCCAGCGGACCAACGGAGCTCCTCTTCCTCCGCCGCCCGCAACGGCTTCCGGCCGCCGTAGCTCTGCTACACGCAAGGCCGCATCCTAGGTAGCGCCGGGCGACCCGACACTTAGCCGGCCTCACACCGACGACACCAGGGCGGGCTCTCCGTGCTCCACCGTGTCGGGACCGCCTGATGGTTCTCCAATCCAAGGTGCCGGGGCACCCAGCAAGAACTCGACTACTTTGCCACCGTGGCTTCAGATCTCTGCAACCCATCCGCGGCTCTGGCTTCCAGCTTGGCAACCCAGTAATTCGGGACCCTCCTCGGCTGGCCCACCGCCCCAAGAAGATGGCGTCCGTACCAGTCAAACTCCCGTCTGCCCTCCGGGGGATCAGCCTTCGACTCTACCCGCCGCATCGACTGCTGAATCCCCCCTCGTTCCAGACCAGAGGGCAAGCGCACTCCTTCCCCTTAATCAGTTGCTTCGAAGACCAAGAAGAGACGTCATTCTAAATAACGCGAACGCTCCCCTGAACCATGGATGACAGCGTTCCAGTCCATCAATGAATCTCTGTCCTCCTTAGTTCGCTGCCTGAGTGACAGACCCACGCCAGTTTCCATTGCTCCAGACCCGGACCTTTCGGCCCCCGGCTCCCGCAGCTTCAACCCGCTCCGCGGTTACGGACGACTACTCGGAGCGTGGTATTTACCGAAGCCTGGGCCAAGGTGGTGTCCCCCCTCCGGAACCTTCGGTCACATACGTGAGTACCCATGGATCTGACCCTGGCATGGCTGCACCTCACTCTGAGCAGCAGACACCATCGTCAGGAGAAGACGACACTGACTCAACGGGCGACCTCACCCCCTCTGAAGGCCGGCTCCGTCTCCTGCAGCGTGATATAATCCAAGTCCTCGACCTTCCGGCTCCCACTCCCCCCCCCCCCGAGAGGGGCACCGGCCGCGTCTCCTTCAAGCACCATGCGACCAGGCTGGAGTCTTCGGACCAACTTTCACAGAGATCCCGCTTGACCGCTCTTGCATCGAGATCTTCAATTCAATAAGCAAGGCCACACACTGGCGCCCTTGTCCTCCTCCTAGGGCCCTGGCTTTAATATTACCACTTCCCGAGGGAGAATTACGATAACTTTTTATCGGTGCCGGAAATTCCAGACGCAGCCCGCGGGACAAAATCATCGTCGACTCGGGCAAGGCTCCTCGGAAGTCGATCTTCCGCCCTGACTAAACTGAACAAGGCTTCTTGCCTCGGCGTTCGCTGTTCAGCCTTCCTCCTCCTTCTCTCGGAATACATTGCAAGTGCATGCGAGGAGAATTCACCAGTGTCCCCAGACTTCACGGCTTTGGCGTTCCGGGGCCTAAATGAGGGCTTGGCCCTCACCTTCAAGCAATTCACTCGTTTCTCCTGCCTGGCTTCCTCCACCCACAGAACAAACGCCTTGGAGGCGATGCATATCCCTCACGAAGGCGTAAAGTCTAGACTTCAAGATATCCCACTTTCTTGCAAGGATCTCTTCACCGGCAAGTCTCTGGAATTTCTTGAGGCCAAAGCCAAACGCATCGACACCACGAAGAATCTCTTCTCCCGGGAGCCGATTACTCCATCTTTGCGGCAAACTCAGCCGCGTCAGCCTCAGAATCCTAAGCTGCTTCCACCCAAGACACATTCTTTTCGCACTCCGCTCCCACAACCGACCCAGCGTCGTACCTCAGTCTGTGCCTCGACCAAACCCACCCGGCCACGGTCGACCCGAGGATCTTCGTCGCGCGCCCCCCGTTACCTCGAGGGTCTTTGCCGATGACTGCGCCACTTCACATTCCGCGACCGCCAATCTCGAACCCGTCGGCGGCTATCTACAAATATTCGTAGGGTTCTGGCGGGAGATCACCTCGGACGGGTGGGTTCTGGCAACCATCGCTCACGGTTACTCCCTCGAGTTTACGAGTGCCCCTCCGTCCGAGGCCATGTTACGTCCGACCCAAAGACAAACACCTGGCGCCGGAGGCCGAACTTCACTCCCTGCTTTAGAAAAACGCCGTCAGTCACGTCCATCCCGACGGCATGACAGACGGTTTCCTGTCTACCTTCTTTCTTACCCCCAAGAAGGAGACAAACAAGTTGCGACTAATAATCAATGTCAAGCATCTCAACAAGTACATCCGGCCAAGAAAATTCAGGATGGAAACCATACTAACTGTATGTAACACGCTCCATCCCAATACCGTCCTGGGCGTCGACGATCGACCTCTGGGACGCATATCTTCACATTCCCATCCACAAGACAGACTGGAAGTTTCTCTGCTTCATGTACAAAAGTCAAGTCTACGAATTCCGGGCCCTACCGTTCTTTAGACATCTCTCAGGATTTTCACTTGAGTCGCGAAGACCGTTGCCGCCCATCTACGCCAGCTGGACGTGCTAATTTTCCAGTGCCTGGACGATTGGCGTGGGTCGCACCCTAGAAGAGGCAATAGCATCAACTCGTCTAACCTACGACCTTTCTTCTCGCCTGGGTTTCATCATCAATCGAGAGAAGTCAAGACTGTCCTCGATTTTCCTCGGAGCAGAACTCGATCTCTGCAGAGGTATCATTGCCCCGACGGCCGATCACATCGCCAATCTTCGGCAATGCGTATCCCTTTTTCGCTCAGCTCAGTTACCCCCCCGGCCCGCGCGTAGCTTCGTCTCCTTGGGCTGATGGCAAGTATGGTCGACCTGGTACCTTGGTGCAGGCTTCGCATGAGACCCCTTCAACTTCACCTGCTTTCCTGCTATCGGCCCAAACGGGATCCTCTCAGTCATGTGCTTCCCGTATCGGACGACTTTATACGTCATCTGCTTTGATGGCTAGAGGGAAGTCACTTAACCGCCGGTCTGCCATTCCTGCGACCAAAACCGGCAGAGATAATAACAACAACCGATGCGTCATCTCATAGCTGGGGGCCTCCTTCCCTCCTCACCAGATCTCGATAACTTGACCACCTGCCTTCCAGGCGAATCACATCAACGTTTTGGAGCTGCCAGCGATATTCCATGCTCTGTAACGCTTCCTACCATACGTCAGCGGAAAGAATGTCTCGGTTTGTTCGGACAATTCTACAGCTGTGGCGCACATCAAGCACCAGGGCGGCACTCAATCTCCCAAGTTGTGCGTCCTCACTTGGGAGATCCTGCAGTGGGCAAGGGAACATGCGATCAATCTGCAGGCTTTCCACATCGCTGGCCCCCGACAACACGTTGGCAGATGCTCTCTCCCGCGGCAAGATACTTCCGACAGAATGGACTCTTCATCCAGAGGTCGTCAAAGCCCTTTTCGTGATGCTGGAGAGGTCTTACATCGATCTTTTCGCCTCTCCCCCCAACGCCCACCCCAAAGCCTGGGCCACGCACTCCCTGCAGATCAACTGGTCAGGCATCCTGGGACATGCCTTTCCACCCATCTCCCTTATCCCGACAGTGCTCTCCAAGGTCGAACGCGAATATTGTCGGATACTCCTAATCGCACCATTCTGGCCTCGCCAACCATGGTTCCTCAGACTGACGAGGCTCCTGGTCCGTTGTCCTCTAGTCCTTCCCGAAAGCATTGTCCAACGATTCTTCCGCTCGGCGGGACTTTCTTGCCACGCAGCGGCCATGGCCCCACGGGGAAGACATCTATCCACCCATAAAATTTACGACAGCAGAATACGGCATTTCATTAGGTGGTGTGAAGAACAGACTCTGGCTCCATGCCATACCGATGCTCCTCTGAATGCCGTTGCCGATTTCCTGTTACACTTATTCGAGTCTGGACTCCAAGTTTCTACGATTCGTAATTATAGGTCAGCCCTGGCTGCCATCTACACTGGTTTTGAGGATGGCTCTGACATCTCCAACAACCTCCTCCGTGGAATGTTAATGGAACTTCCACCTACGAAGAAGTTAGTTGCATCTTGGGACTTAAATAAGGTTCTCCGGATGCTGGCCGGTCCTCCCATTGAACCCTTCAGTAAAGCGTCCCTCCTACACTAGTACTAAGCTGGCCTTCCTCCTTGTGGCAGTCACATTTAGAAGAGGCTGCGAATTACAAGCGCTCTCAGTAGGCGATGGTCATCTGCGCTGGGAGCCTCACGGGGTCCGCCTCATCCCCGCTGTTCTAACCAAGAACCAAACTCCGTCCTTTGAACCCCCAGATATCTTCGTGCCTATGATTTCCTCGCATTCTGGGGATGATGCTGATAAACTCTGGTTTCCGGTTCGTACGTTGAAATGGTACTCGGCCAAGACTAAGGGTCTCAGAGGATCGACGACTCAACTGTGCATCACCTCCACGAGCCTGAGTCGCCCAGCAGCAAGAGACACGATAGCCCGCTGGACGGTTGCAGCCGTCGGGTTTGCTAACCTGGATTGGCCTTCACAACCTGATGAGCAAGGTAATCGATACCTACCCAAACAGTCCTCTCCCGCCCATCCTCCCCACTAGGCTACGACTTTAGTTGCTTTTGAAAAGAAGGACAATCATGGCAGCGAGACCGCAGTGCACAGTGGGAGTTCATAGGGCATCTCGGATGATAAAGTCTTATTCAGCGAATGGCCATGCGCGCATGGGAAAGTTGCATATGTAGTGCTGTTTGGGTAGGTATTCTCTAGTAGACCCGACCCACAAAACCAATGTGGGGAGGATTTTGAGTGTTGTTTACAAACAATACAGCCAAGTTTCGATATAGTGCCCAGCAACTCAGCAGTACCTACCGTCGGCTTTATTTGGGGTAAATGATACTTATGAAAAGCTTTCCGTTTGGTGGACGCCGTGTTTGTTGATATTGAATGCTCACTATAGGTCTATTCACTACAGAATACCTTTATTTTTTTCAGCCTCTGGTGGAAGCATGCTTTATGTAGCAGAAGTCCAAGCATTGGGAATGTACTTCAAGAAAAGGTTTGCCTTCGCCGTTGGTTTAGCATCAGCGGGCATAAGTACGGGTCAACTTGCCTTCCCACCTTTAGTTACCTACCTGATTGAAGTTTACGGCTGGCACGGTTCAATGTTGATCACAGCAGCAATAAATATGCACATCGTAGCTGCTGGAGCACTCATGCGCCCAATGGTTAGGGGAAAAACCACGAAAAAACGGCGTGCGCATAGTGTAACAAAACAAAATCCTGGCAAAAACGAGACTTGTAGTACCGATGAAACAGATCCTGAAGACACCATGGCAGGTCGTGATT